TACTCTGACAGAAATATTTAAAAAAAAAAAATTTAGCAATGCACATATTTGAAAGGAAGTATTTTCATAAAAGGTGAAAGTATTTCTTCCCACATTTACCTGCTTTTAAGTCTTACTTAAAACTATGAAAGTTTTGGTTAGGTAACAAGTGGAGGAGAGATACTTCTTTGTTAACTTTAGTTTACAGCAACAATTTGAGATCTACATTACATGCTTTTCCACAGCATTCTTGGCAAAACATTGTGGAATGACTACCCAACGTTTGTTCATAAAATTCAGATTAGGGCAGATTAAACCACTGGGGTACTAATTTCAATTCAGCAATTATGCATTGCACAAGTAGCACTTTTAAAGGGTCTAAATTTCCTACTAACATGTTAGTAACTGTTTAAAAATCCTGGTTCTGTTATTACTGAACAAGACATTACATACTCTACTTTCTTCAATTCCCTGCAGCCAGAAATTAACTGTGAATAGAAGTAAGCAGAAAATGATAGGGATATGGATCTCTGCTGACAGTCCAAACATTGTAGTTGCTAATCACATTGCAAACAAATTTCCAGATTCCTCACCCATTCTGCGAATAGTCCAGGTAAATAAAGAACACAGACTTGGGAGGTCCAGGGAGAGAGAAAGAGAACAATCTCCTATTTGTAAAACTGTGGGATGAATTTTTATGGATTGTCTCAGACCACTGTGTCTTCCACAGTGCTTCAAAGCATGACAGCAGTGTCTGATAATAATGAGCTCAGGAAAGATGAGCTGTATTTAGACACCAGAAAAAACTAAATTAAAAAAAAATCCCAGTGTACACCGTGTTTTAGTAAAGAATTAGAAATTTGGCTTTTAGTAGACATTGGACAGATCTGGTTTTCAAACAAACAAACCAACCTATCCTCTGCACTTTAATGCTAAAGAATTAGTGTCACCCCTGATAACTAAGCAGTTAATTTTTGAACAGGCACTCATTTGCACACCTTCCACTGACAGTATCATTGGCTCACTAATGTGAACAGGTACCAGCTCCCATGAGTTCTTCTGTTAGCCTCCTTCTAAACACATCTTTCTTCCAGTTCCAAGAGTCACTAATGCAGCTGTTAATAGCATTATCTGGATAATGTGAAAGCCATGAGGCACACAGGGAAGACAGGATGAATGACATAGTTCTATATGCTTTCCTCTTCATGGATTTTTGAACAGAGGGTTAAAAGTATTTTAACAGATTGTTAACAATGGTTAATTAATGGCTCTTCTCCCTTTAGGGCTGACTGGGTAGAAACTATGCTCATGGTGAGTTTGTTGACTTTTTGGCATTCATGCACACAAGACAGGGGAAACAATGAATGCCAGCTCAGAAAACTATGATACTTTTCAGACAGAGCATCTGATGCTGAGAGAAGTGTCACCTACTCATTCATTTAAACTTGAATGAAAAGGGAAGCTTTTTCCAAGAAGTCTCTTTCTAACCAGATTTCATTTTTTATCCAATTGCTATAGAGTTTTCCTGCTTGCTGTTTTTTCTTTCATTCTTTTCTAAGTGATTCCTACCTTTCATTTGGCAAGGTTAGCAGGTTAAGGAGAGTGAAAGTATAAAGGAACTGCATGAGGATGTAAAAGAAAAAAGCACAATGATAAAAATACCAAGAAATCAACAGATCTTGGTTTTGACTGCTTTATCTTGCCTGGGATTTTGAAGCAACCAAAAAGACCTAGATTTAAAAAAACCCAAAATACTCCATGTTTTAGAGTTCTAGCCTAGGAACATGAGATAGAACTTTCCACTGTCAGTCAACAGCATCCAGAAGCCTTGAACAGACCGAAACAATAAAAATCAACCTACAAGCAAGTACCTTAACTATTAAATAAAATAGAGAACAGAACACACCCTGATTCAAGATACTGCTGTAAGTAATATAAACGCAAACAAAGGCTAGCCTAGTGTTTTCAGTCTGTTCCTATCATATTTTTGACTGGATACATTTTTACAAGGCAGAAACCCAGTCGTGATTTTTTGTCAGCAATTGTACGAGAAACTTTGCCAAAGGAGATATAAAACGCTCAGGTAAACTGAGAGCAAACTGAAGCAATACTAAAACTTATTTACATTTTACAAACTATTGCTTAAACTCTGCAGGATTTTCATATTTAGGAGTCCTTCACCATGCATGTTCTAATAGTCCACTTTTTCCTTACGTCACTTTGCGTCAGTTAAGTCAGGCTTTCCCTAGAGAGCACACAGCCTATAGGCCACGACAGGCACTGCTGAAGGAAGTAAAAGGGGTTAGTGAAGAGGATTTTCCATATTCAACTAGAACACCGACAACTATGCTTCCAGTAAGAATAGCCCTACAGGAAGCATTTGTCAAATGGAGAGACCTGACCGCTTCCCTGTCATTAGTTGTTCTTTTAAGAAGAGACTTAAAATTCCACAGCTATTGGAAATGAGGGGATGTGTGATATATTCCATTTTCCATCACCCAAGCAAAAATAACTAACATGTCACTGTCTTCACTCAATTTCACAACAGAATTCTCTAATTCTGGAAACCACAATAGTTGTGTCGCTTCTTTCTTAAATGTTTTGTACACTGGTCACATAGGGAAAAAAAAAAAAAATCACAACACATAAGCACTCTTTTGGAAACATTTCCATGTATTAAAAGCACTAAATCCATCCAGAAGACACATGAGGTTTATAAAGGCTCAGACAAATCCATTCACGAACATGAAGAGATGCTGCAGTAGGGTCAGAAAACAATCAGAAACAATACAGTTTGTTTAGGTAGAGGGGTATGTATGCATGTTTACAAGTATGATTTTTAAGTATCCTTAACATACCAGCAGCCCAAAGCTCAGCCTCTGTTCAGATTTACTTAATATTTCAACTGCCTATTGATCAGGTGAGTGCCATTGAAACCTCTTCAATCCTCTTCAGTAAGACCTTACTGAGAAACTCTTCATGACAGGAAGAAGGATCCTGAACATTAGCTTTTTTGGCTAAGAAAATTACTTTCCTTAATCAGGAACACCAATTTTAATCAAAGTTTTTATGCTGTATCATAAGATGAATTTAAAATGTATGACACAGCAAATATTATTACTTTGTTCTTAACATTATATAGTCAGGCCATACTTTGCCCTGGTTCCTGACACATCTTCAGGCAAATTTTGTGATGTGAAGCAGACATTTTGTAGTTTTACTTTTATGCCCAATCAGACATGATATAGAAAGAAATATATTTAGATTCTGGATCTCTCCCAGAAAAAGAGCATATGACATTTCAGGGTTTCAAACCGTAGCCAGTGTCCAGACCTTTGTCTAGTTTCCAATAAAGTTTTCATTTACAAGTCTTAAAGCATTGCTGTCACATCTATAAATTCCAGAAAAGACTCCAAAAACTTGATAGTTAAAAAAACCACAGGCCTTCTAATCTTTTGGGGTGATTCAGTCCAAGTCCATCTTCTGGATTAACCTGCTGCTACAGGTAAACAGAACATTCAGTTCAAATAATCTAAGATTGGTCCATAAAGAGTTATTAATTGCAAGACCTCTTTTTACAGAAAAAAAAATATTTTAATATTTACAATCTTTTTCATTATTCTTCATATACTCATTTCAGCTTAGTTTGGAGTTTATGTCATCAGAAGCAGAATGGACATCACCTAAAGCAATAAACACTAGTAATGCAAATAATTAAATGCTAATAATGAGAAACAATAGCTGAACTCTCATCTTGCACATCCCAAGATGCATTGCATTCAGATGGCTACTAGACTTAATACTAGGTATGTAGGTTTCTCACCCTTTTTTTTTTTTAAATTCCCCATTAAAAAAAAAAAAGTTTAATTTTGTTCAACTGGGAATCATTCTTTTGGTTTTACTTTTCAGTAAGAAATCATTATTATCTCAGGTAAAATTTAAAAGTGTTTTGATTTGTCTGTCAAAACTATCCACAAAATGTTGTACAAGAAACTTTATTATATTACAGTTAAGTAGTCTTTACAAACGCAGCCTTTAGTGACAGTCTTTACTGCACGTAATGGAAACATCATTAACACAGAGTAAGGAAAGATAAATGGCTGAATCTCCTCCAGGGTATCAAGAAGTCACATTTCTTGCTTGGAATCAGCAGGCTGCTCTACATGAAGGTAACTTATGACAGCACACGGGTCAGTGTGGCCACATTGCATGGCCTTTCCTGAAAGAATTCACATTAGAGTAGGATCTTGAGAGAAAAAGGAAATTACGCCAGCAGCTCACTCTCCTGGGTGAGGGCTAATAGAAAAAAACAAAACAAAACAAAACAAACCCCACCTCTTTGGAGTTTCAGAAAGACCTTGGCACTCTTGGCTGCATCTAGCACAGAAAAAAATTTTAGCAGCTCTGTTTTGTTGTCTTTGTAAACTCACCTATGAAGCTTTGCTGTTCCTTTAGAGAATGTTGCTGGGATGACCTTTTAAGCAAGAGCTTGCTGTAGAAGCCTAGCTCTTCAGCCTATTTCCTTCCCCACGCCATTACACGGATTAACGGATCAAAGCAGTTCTTTGTCTAATAACACAACAGATTCTATTGGAACTTTTAACTTTTGACAGCCTTGAAGAAGTTCAAACTGTATTTTTAATTTCCTCAGACTTACTGGGAAGCCAAAAGCTCACCCATTAAAGCACCACAACACTTTCAGTTGATGTATAAAGAAAAGAGCTATGATTAGACTCATTTTCAGTAATACGTTGTGGTACACACAAGATGGGGATAGACAAAATGCCTTTGCATTGCACAAACACTGAGCAAAAAGAAAATGAACACAAGGCATAAAACAAAGAAAGGATGTATACAATGGAATAGGCACACGTTATTTTTTCTTTTTGTGCTAAAAACAGATTACAATGTTTATCTTTGTGTGAAGACAACTCACCAAAGCCTGAATAAACTGGAGGTTAAGAATATCATCGTTAAAACTCTTTCCAATTTCCATGTCTTTATAAAGATTTCTGTTAATAATGATATTTTTAGAAACTGAGTGTTCTGCCAGAAAAAAAATCCAACGGAAATGCTCTTAAGTAGATGTTAACAGAGAAATGATCAGACTTAGTCCTAGCCAGAGGCACCAGTTAAAAGTACCATTAAAGAACAACGTGAGACACTGAAGCTAAGCATTTTGACAACTAAACTCTCACTATCTTTGAAGCTTTTAAAATCCCAGGTCTTTTAAAAGGTTGAGCAACTTTCTGCCAGCATCTCCTACCTATGAAACATAACATGGACTGGAGTAATTTAAAATTTACAATAATTAGGGACAAATAGAAAAAAGTGCATGTCCAGCGCTGCTCAGTTTGGGAGCTTTTTTGCCAGAACTGCCATTCATTTAATCAAATTAAATATGCTGTTTGTATCATGTTTTATCATCATACTAAAATAAAAACATAAATAAAGTTTGTAACAAGATTGACACGTGGCAAAAATACAGTTTGATCTAAAACCAGCATGTTTTCCCATTAGGGTTCATTTGTACTGTGCATTTTAAGATGCTATTACTGCAAATTTATAAATATGGGAGTTTCCCATCATTACATACACTTGCATGAGAAAAGCCCATGTGTAAATGTTTCAGAAGAACTTTGTAAATTACAAAAATCTTATCAATACCATAGAACCTCAGGAAGCATTTGCAGATACAGTATAGAAATTGGTATGCTATGATTTTCGATGTTTTCTGAAAAGACCTACAGCTGTGATGTACACAAAAAACAATGTGCTGACTTACAAGATAAGATACAATACAGTATTTCTAAGATTAATGTTATAAAGAACAATAAAAATATAAGATGCAATAAAAATATAAGAACTAAAATTTACCTACTGCGAGTTCTGTTCCAACACGGATCATTTAAACTTCTTAGTGAATGAAATACTTCATTTTTGCCTCTGAGCATATTTCATGATTTATTAGGTCTAATTAATACAAAAGCCTCCTGCCTGTCCATTTTAGTGGTGCTGCTGAGCAGCTGTTAGCAGCTTACACTTAGTAATCAGGCATCACCTGAGCTTGGTAATGAGAGCTATGCACACAGTTCGGTATGTGGATAACTGCCCTAAGTTACTAGCACCAACATTCTCTCTTCCTATCAAAATCATCTTTCTTGATGCCTCTCGGAATTATATGTTCCTTTCTCACAGCCAAATCACAGCAGTGACTCATACTCAAGTTTTGTTATTGATTATGACAGTCAAGCTTTTTTACTATTATGTCACTTCCTATTTATGAGCCCCATTTATAGAAAATTTTCTATCAGTTTTATGACCTTGCACTTGATAGTATGAAATTTCTACCTGTTTCTTCATTTTCAAGGTTATCTAGTTCTTCCTATTTAATGTTTTGGTCTCCTCAGTATTAGCAAATGCCTCCCAAATTTTGTTAGTTTTGTACCTTTCCTGCCTGCTTCTTTAAGGAAAATACTAAAACAACGTTAGCCAAAAAACAGCCCCCAAGGAGTTTTATTAGTAAACTCTGTCCAATCTAAAAGTTTCTTTTCCAACACAATTGTAACATCTCATTTGGCTAGTTCATCATATGCCAACTTTTCTTCTACCAATCCCTATTTTTTTCACCTTAAGCAGTAATTCATCAGATGGATTATTTTCAAGTAAATTAAAGGTCCGAAGTCTTCACAGAAAGAAACACCAGGCTTGCATGTTCACAATGTGCTTTTCATAAGCTTCTGTTTATTTTACTCAATTTTTCAGCAATTTCTCTCTATTCGTGGTTTTCCTTCTATGCTCATAATATTGAAGAGACCAGAGTTTATCCTGCCCCTACTTTTTGAAATACAGATACCATCCCAAGGTACTGAATATACACTTCTGAAAACACTGTCCTACACATGCCAAGATACTTTATCTGAAAATGAAACCACCCAAAACATTACAACTAGAACAACATCAACTCATCTTGCCTTTTTAGAGAAAAATAATAATTTATGATGTGGTCTAATAGTTTTAAGCAGTCACTTAAGTCTCTAAGCAGAATTATAACTCTGAATAAAACGTTTATTTTAGTGTAATGATGCTTGCACAGCAATTACTAGCAGATGCACATTAGTGAGATAGGGCCTGGAGAGCTAAAAGCCTACGCATGTGCTTGCCTGCGCACGCACTGACGCTGTCAGACTGCCTGCACTGTGTTTTTACAATACTCATGCATTTGATAAGGGCCTGTTGCCAACAGATCAGTGTGTCCTGTGTAACTGCTAGCGTTCACATAGGTGGACTCTGAGACACATCTAGACCAGGTCAAACTTTGAAAGAGAGAAGTTTTTGATCCAAAATGTACAACTTTGGCCCAACCTGGAGTGCGCAGAAATTATACATAGCTAGAATTTAAATCGTACTAGTTCACTCCATCTTATAAACTGTGTTTCACTAGTATCTTTGTCAGGTTTTAGGTTTCATCCTATTATGACTGCTATGAATTTCATTTCAGAGGCACTGGGATCGCAGAATCAGCACACTAGAACAAGGAAAGATCAGCAAAACTTAGAAACCAAATTCCGTCTCTATACAGATACAACTGAAGAAGGCTGTCAAATTTTTTTTAATCAGTTGGAGACTCTTGACAAATGCAGTTTCAATGCCTCTCTTCCTCTGGTGATGATAGTCCATGGCTGGTCGGTATGAACTCACATTTTATTTTTAATTCAAACTACATCTGGTTTGATATACTTTCCTTCTCATTATGCTAGTGCCAAAAGTAGCTTCAGAAGAAAGGTTGTGATTAGAAAGATGGTGGATTTCCTTGGTAGCAATCATGGCTAGAAATAATACGAAGTGGAACATTCCCCACTGAGATTCTGAAGGAACAGTCTCCAAGCAATTTTTCATATGGAAGTCCCATGCCAAGGATTAGACTTAGTCCTGGTTTAAAGCCAGCAGAGTTCAAACAAGGAGCTGAATTAACATGCTGATGTCAGATATTTACCAGACATAGTGAAAAGAAGTGCACACAATCCGCCTACACCTTTCTCAAAGATACACCTTTCTCAAAGATACACCTTTAAAGAGAACTTCTCTATAAGTCCCTTCAGCTGAAAATGAAGCCTCCAGTATCAATGATTTACCACTAAACTGCTTCAGTTAAACTGTAAAAAAAAAAACAAAACAAAACACCAAAAAAAGCCAAACACCAAAACTACAAAAATCTTTCTTAAGAAACAGCAGTTCTACGTGACTTTTGATCAGCTTCTCAGGTGAAAAAGGAACAAAAGAAAAGGCAGGATACTAAATAATGTCATTTTAATAGAGCCTTGATTCTCATAGAGCCACATCATGTAAGGTAGCAAAATGGATCTTTCTTACATATCTGCAGAATTGCAGAGAAACTTTGAGCAACACCTTGATGCATATAACTCTCTTAAAGCAGAGCTGACTGTGGATGAAATAATGCCCTGTATTGCACTAGCCAAGCCTCCCAAGCAATATTTTGTTCAAATGCACTCCTCAAAGACAAACCATGGACATGAGGCTGCTGCCGTTGAAGTTCATAATTTGTATTAACTAGCAGACATGTTTGGCTCTTAGAGGAATACATATGGAAACCCAGAGCAGAAACTCCCAAATTCTGTGAAAACAGCAGAAGAGATAAGGATATTTGATGAGTTGAGGAAATGCATGCAGATAGAGCAACAATTAAACCTGACAGATTAAATAATTCTGGTTCATCTAATCAGAAACAGTCTTTCGTGCTAGCAAGAAAATTGTGATCATGTCATTAAAACAAGAGATAAAAAAAAAAAAAAGCAGATCTCAAAATGGAAGGACTGTAGAAGGTAAATGCCCATTGGTTCTGCAACCCTCCAGCTTCCCTGCCTCTGCAACTGTTTTAGCTTAAACTTATAGGGAGAGATGCTCTTGAGTGAAATCAGAAATTTTCAGGGCATTTCTGTCTCTTTTTTTAATCAGTAATAACAATTCTCTCAGGATGAGTGAAAATATTTAGGGACATAATTTTGCTGATAAGAGTTTGTATTATAAGACAAATTATACAGTTATTAAACTAATTCAGTTTTTTTGTCCACCAAAATCCAAAGGCTCTCAGGCTGAAGTCCCTAAAATCTAGTTATCAGCATTTAGCCCTCCTTATTTATATTAGGATTTTTTGTTTCCTTTTCGCAGAGAATGCTTTCTTCAACACTATTTTTCCTCCCCCCCCCTTTTTTTTTTTTTGAATAAAACAGGTGGACGGGATGTTAGAAGGCTGGATTTGGAAAATGGCAGCAGCTCTGAAGTCTCAGCACAAACAAATTAATGTGATCGTTGCAGACTGGCTCACATTTGCTCACCAGCACTATCCCATTGCTGTACAGAATACACGCTACATAGGACAGGAGATAGCACACTTTCTGGAATGGCTGGAGGTAAGACCCCCAGATCAACACACTTTTCTTTGGAAAAGACCTGTTTACCTGCTTTTATGCTTCTACCACCTTTCCGAAATACCTTGCTGGTTAACACTGTTCACTTCAACCACTTCTGTTTCTTTAATATGTTGCAAATTTTTCTTCCATAAATTTTCATGGAACTTCATAAAACTTCCATTATACAAGAGGAAAAAGCAAGTGGTCTTGTTCATTAAAATATTTCGATATATCTTTAGAGGCAATATAATTTCATGCTGCTGTCGCTTTTCAGTTAGCATATGTGCAGACAGCTGACAGAGTCCCACACTTTGAAAGTAGGCACACATCATCATTTGCAAGTTGTTAATTCAGTAAAATGGCCTTTTGCTATCTGTGCTTAATTTCTGCTTTTAAGGTAGAATTCAAGCATGAAATTTTCTTGTGATTTTTTCCTTAGTTCCCCAAAGATTACTGTAAAACAATGGCTTTGAGATCTAGAATGTAAAGGGTCACCTTTTACAAGGACAGACATGCATCACAAAACATATGACATGGAGGTAGTAGTGAGTACAGAGCCATGTTAATGTACTGACTAGTCATCCAAAGGCCTGCTATATAGGGAGCAGTGGCCATGGCTGGATTGAAAAGGCTGCAAAGAAGTCACGTTTGCAAGGCATCACTGGTCTCCAGCACTAAGAAAAGGCAGAAAGCAAACACCAGAATGAGAACCACTCATACAAACCAGGCATCCTGAGCAACTCTTATTTCACCTGTCTCTAGTACTCATTTAAGTTGCTTAACTTGAAATGAAATTATACTTCTGTACCTAACAACAATTTTTTGAATACATTGACTTAGAAATGGGGAGGCCCAAAATGGAAGGGAAGTATACTGCAAAGCTGGAAGATTTGTAGCTAATAACAAGGGCTAAGCTGCTTTCAACAGGAATGGCAGGGCTAGAAGTTGTCAGATAACATGCCCAGCTAGGGACAATAGGCACAAAATATCATTATCCTTTGTTGTACGTTACAAGAAACTTCAGCTCCTGGTCAAATGTCATTTAAGTTTCTGAAGCCTAAATTAATATTTTGAAGCTGTTTAATTATTGAATGAATCAGACAGTGGACTTTGTTCAGTTCCCAGGAGGCCATCACCACACTGTCAACAATAAAAACATCCTGTGATTTCTCCAGTGTCAACAAACAAATTGAAACTTCAATAAATGACTCCTTGCTCCAGCATTGTAGGTAGCTTCTCTTGTACCATTGTATGTTCCAGGATTTAAATATACCATAAATTTTCACAGCATTCAGTGGAGCATATTCAAGCAGTAAACCTTCCTTCTGTTGAGAAGCACCCCTCCTGAGTTCAACAGTTAAAAACCTCCTCATTCCAACTCCCATAACTATCTTTCTCCTATGCTTCTGTCTGCTTACAGGCAGACAAGTATTTGAAATATCAGAACATCAATGGATGTAACAAAATCCTCAGTGCTAACATTTTAATAAAAATAAACTAAATCTTGGTGCTCTTAGTCCAAGAGTTAATAGGCCATGATCAGTAAGTCTCAATAGCATCCATCTCAATAACATCTGCCAAGAAAGTTGGTCAGATCTTGTGATTTTTAAGAGCTGCCTCTCTCAGAGAACTGCCAAGTTTCACCTCATCTTCACAAAAGACCAGTATTAAGACTGAAAGTCATTCCACTGGGACAGGCAATATCCACAATTACATTAAAACTGAGGTTTGCCTTTCGCAAAAAAAAATAAAAAAAAAAATAAAAAAATAGGCCTGAGGCCAATTCTGCTTTTATAGGTTTGTTTCAGTTCAGACACCCAGTTTTGTACAAATCAGTCCAGAAATGTCACTGTTCTATCACATGGCATGTCTGATCAATGTTTTGATACTTTAGCTTCTAATTTGGCTTGTGCCAAATTAGACAAAATCTTAGGCAAAAAAAAACCCCAAACAAACAAAACAAACAAACAAGGCACTTTCTACAAAGAATCGTTTGACACTGAAGTTAAGGACAGATACCCATTTTATAGTCAAAGGAAAGTCAAATGCTGCAGACAAAAGGCAATACATGTTGGTATCACTTGCAACAAACAGCAAGACAAGTCCTGCTATCTGTGTTGAAGCTTTCCTGAGCATAGCACATAAGGAGCAGTGCCCAAATGCAGGGCATTTTCCTGCCACGTGAAAAGGATGGAAGGAATAACATTCAGCTAGTGAATAAATTTAGCGCATGATCTATGTGCCTCAGCTGACCTACATCGTCAACACACAAATTTCTTGTGTTGTAATTCATGACATTCTGGGCTTGTCACAAGTATTTCACCATTTACTTTTCACATTTTCTGTATTTAAATCAAGCTGCTGCTATCTTCCAGGAATCCATTCAGTTTTCCAGAAGCAATGCTCATCTAATTGGATACAGCCTAGGAGCTCATGTTTCAGGATTTGCTGGAAGTTATATCAGTGGTACAACTAAGATTGGAAGAATTACAGGTAAAAAACTTACAACTTTAAGAAATGTGGCAGTAAACAGATTTACGTTACTTAGATATTTGACATATTAATGTGATACCAGTATTTATCTGTTGAATAGCAGTAATTGCCACAGTCCATAAGTTTCATCCCATTGGCTTAGAAATTAGATTTAGAAAATTTAAGAAAACACTTTTAAAAATGAAGTATCACAGTATTTATACCTTTGATCTTCGCTACCCTCAGTCTAAATTATGACACACAGAGTACATCAGCATGAGGTCTACAAATCATAAACCAAAGATTTAAGCTGCATGAATTTATCTTGTGTCCGTCCCCAGTAACAACTTAAACTAAACGTTAACCACCAGTGTTGGATCTTTGGTCACTATCTCGACCCAAAGCTATTCAAACGCACTGTTCGCCGTTGGTGAATCATTTTAAAAAGAAAACTACGTCAAGGAACTTCTCTAACTATGCTTGAGCTTTCAATTGTAGTACATTGCTCATGCAGTGGACTGAAGTCAGCTCTCCTGTGGCAAAAATTATAGTCCTGGATTATATTTTACAAGCAGCATATCATTAGCGTATGTCTAATAAGTGCTTAAAGGGAACAAAGTTAACCATAACACTTGACTCTTTTGACTTCTGGCATTTTCAACTTTCTGTAATTTTTTGTAACTGTACTAATTATGAGCGTAACAAAAATACATTTATAAGGTTATTGATATACTGTATACAATACCACATCTAACGCATAGTGACAGCTTAAAAACAAAAGAAAAAAATCAATCCCAAACCAGAAGTGCATTTTATACAAGGCCTACATCAGCTACATTTAAGTTATCAGAGAAAACATTTTACTTGAACCTGATCTGGGAGTGATACTCATGACTGTATTTGCAAGTCCCAGTTCTGATCTTGCATTCATTGCCACATACCCTACTCGTTTATACAATCAGCCTGTGTGATGGTGTCTGCATGCCAAGAAGCTGATTTTACACGTGCCATGATATTGCCCTTGTTTATACACTGATGGACTCAGTTCATCAGTGCTGCTTGTTCATACCCCATCAGTACATCAAACCTCAATAATGGATAGTAAAAAAACATTAAAACATGTTATTTGTTGTAATAGCTATATGCATTCTTCAGTAAAATTATTTAGATTTGTAACAATAAGCTCAAAAAAATTCATAGTGATAAAAGCTGTTAAAAATAAAAGGAAACGCGTGCTGTCAGGGTGACATCTGGCATTATAGCCTGTGTTATTATTCTCGGCCAGTTACATATATGCAACTACTACTCCACAGTACCAACTGAAGAATGTCAAATTTAGCAGCTTGTCCCTAAAAGTAAAGGCAGTTTTAAACTACGCAGGCAGTCCTTTTCCCTAAATCAGGTCCCAACTATACAGAAGTATCTAGCAAACTAAAAGTTAGCAGAACTAGAAGTGGAATATTATTTTTATGAAAACTGTAATTGCCTGGAAGACTTTTGAGGTTGAAAAATTATTAACAACATCTATCAGACATATAGCTCTTCGAAGCAATAAGCGAAGCTTTATAAAGTTTCATGTCCCAAATGTGGGCTAAAAGTCAACCGTGTTGTGGGACTGGTATCTTCCAAAGGGCCTCTGAAACACATGACCTACAGAGTATGAAAGAACAAACATCCCTCAAGTGACAAAGCAGTAGTGAGCATAGTTTGTCTCTAACAAACATACCTATCTCTGGGCCTGTGTCCTTGTGCATTTATTACAGTGCCTGTGTTTACTTTACCTGTTGGTGTAACCATGTACCCTCTGCAGAGCAAGTGTTCCTAGCAGCGCTTCTATCAGTGAAAGACCTTGTAAAGAACCAGTGCTGTTTGTTTTAAAATATTTATCAGAGACTTTTCTCCTAACAGTAAAAGAGCAGCCCATCTGCACTATATCACAACTGGATTATTTGCATTTATTGCAGGCCTTGACCCTGCTGGTCCTTTGTTTGAAGGAATGTCACCAACAGACCGTTTATCTCCAGATGATGCAAACTTTGTAGATGCAATTCATACATTCACTAAACAGCACATGGGTCTCAGCGTTGGCATCAAGCAGCCCGTGGCTCATTTTGACTTTTATCCCAATGGAGGCACCTTTCAGCCTGGCTGCCACATCATGCATCTGTATAATCACATTGCACACTATGGAATCACTGGTAAGAACCGACGGCACGAAACGGGAAGCAGCGCTGCAGCTGCAGTGGCAGCACCTCTGGGAAACTTCACCTGTATCTCTATGGTCTTCAACAGTACCTAATGGGAGCATCATCTCCCATTATAAACAAGAATATTTCTTTTCTAGAAATAAGTTATCTGATTTTTACATGTGTTGAGTTAAAACTGTTCTTACTGACTCTAGTAAGGAAACTTGCCATCTAGCACTTCTGAAAACAAGGCCAGAAGCGTCCTGCTGTCAAGCACTTCTGCTAAACCAGATATCTTTGAAATTATTCAGTACAGGAAATGAGAAACTTATTCTAATTAAGCCAGATTCATCTAGTGTGCGATTATTTCAAATGAAATAAAATACAGGGCTGTACTACTCACCTCTTTAATTCACCTTTTCGCAACTCCCCATCCTTCAGCTCCACAGATGTTGCTCTCCCTAGGATATGACTGCCAGTCTTCCAGGCAAGGTTTTGGAAATAAGCTTCTGTATGTAATTTGCCTCAATGCAAACATACAGAGAAACTGATACAACATACTGAAAAAATATAAGGTACTGATACACAGTGACAATCAGAACTCTTCAGTGAAAAAAACCCAGAAGAGTACTGTTCACCCATCATACTGCATTGCAAAAATACTTTTCAACTATCACCACATTATCTAAAAGTAGGCCTTATTGGTTAGCAGGTAATTAATTTTCAAATGTGAAACCAAGCATCAGCTAGAAACCTTGCCATAAAGACATAAAAACAGTCCATTGTGATATATCCTGATTACACAGAAGAAAATACCTTTCTCAATATGATGACACCTTAGGAAGAAAAATATACTTCCTTCTTGAAAAAGCAGGTCTATTAATTTAATAATTAAAAAAATATTTAATACAATTTTTTGCTCCTTTTTCCTCAGTAGTAGCTGCAAGCGAAATTCTATTCAACAAGTTTCTCACTCTGACAGGAACAAAATATGACATTAATGTGTAAGCACCCAAAAGACAAGAGTGTTCAACCAATCAGAATGAGATTGCTGTCTTCAGTGTGGCATGATCTGAAAGTCTGCATGTAGCCTCATACTGTATTTCATATTGACCAAAAGAGCCAGGACAATCAAGATTCATATTTACATTTTTAAACAGTTAGGCTAGAGAAGTTTAAGCAGCAAATTATACAATTTTATTATCATGTAGATTCAGCTGAACTACTTTTGGATTGCCCTAAAAGTAAAGTTGCTGCAATGTGTGACTTATGAGGCAAAATCTCGGTGTTGTAGTAGTAAAGAGGGTGGGGGAAAAAACTGTACATGTTTATAGTTGGTTATTGTACTCCCCTGCAGTTGAAATGGTGAAGAGGAATAACGATGTGCAAAATTTTGTTGCTTGCATTTTTTTCAGGCATCACTCAAACTGTGAAATGTGCCCATGAGAGGTCAGTTCATTTGTTCATCGACTCTCTGCTTCACAAAGATAAACAAAGCACAGCATACTGGTGCAACGACATCAACACTTTCAACAAAGGATTGTGCCTCAGCTGTAGAAAGAACCGGTGCAACACTCTAGGCTACAACATCAGGGAGGAAAGAGTCCCCAAAAGCAGACAACTCTTTTTGAAAACAAGAGCACATATGCCTTTCAAAGGTTTGTGTGAATACTTGTTACAGTCTCCAGATAGATCACAAAGTGTGAGAATGAGCCTAAGCTTTGTGATCCTATTTACTCATTTACTGAAGCTTACAAAATCTATGGGAATAATCAATTTGCTGAGACAACTGAGAAATCTGGTAGGCTGTCTTGATGCCCCTTCATCAAGATCCTGACAATATTTCTGTGGAGAAAAAGTGTGCCCCATGCTTGCCACAGGCTAACTGTGGATTTGAGGCCTCAGATATGCTTCAGGTCCTATCTAGGGGGTTTTCCTACAACTGGCCTGTGCGAGTTTGTTACAACATATGCAGGCATACAGCCAAGCCAAAAAAGCAGCATAATTGCTCTGGGAGGCCTGTAAAACCACCCGTTCCAAATTTGCCCAAATTTTATCTGTAATCAAGTCTACAAGAAGGCATACAAATTATTACTTTTCAAATAATGGATAGACAACAGAATAGCACAGACTTTTACAAGGTGGAACTGAAGCACTAAAACTGACTGGTACTCTGTAACTTTATCTGCATTAATTTATTGAGACCACAAAGTAACAATTTTCTAAGCTCAGGGAGACAAACTATGTGGTTTCTTGCACGTATTACCAGGCAGAGAGGAAGCAGTCTGACAGGGAATTGAGGCCTACCTGGCCTCCATTACAAAATGGCGCGGGCCTGGCCCTCAGCTGATGACAACTGGACCATCAGAGCTCAGGAGGCAACTGCTGCTGCTGAGCCGACACCCAGCTGCCAGCAGGAAGTTTAAAGTCCACTTTAAAGTTTTCAAGCAAGGACAAGCAGGACTGTGGGACGAGCGGCAGGGACACTTCTTCCAAGGGGCTCTCAGTGCCCGGCGCTGCTCCTCACACCTGCCCTTCCCGGCCATCAGACAAGGAGCAGCCGCTCGCAGCGCGGGTGGGGCCGCGTGTCCCTCAGCCCTCCCCCGTGGCAGGGCTGGCCCCTTCTGCCTGGCGCAGCCAGAGGGGGGTCAGCCCCCGTGTGCCCCACCTTAGACGCTGGGGATGGGCAGGAGTGCTGAAATGTCGACAGTGTGCACCTGGCACTCAAGGGCCTTCCAATCCTGAGGAAACATGCTACTTGTATTACTCGTCTTGTTTCCCCACACTGCCCGGTCCTCAACTGCAATATCATAGATTTAAAAAAGAATAAAAAAATTCAGGTACTTTCACAATAATTTCTAAAGTCTTCCACTACCATAGCTGTGAAATACAGTGATGACTAGAGGAGTCTGCTCAGTCCTGGCTGGTACTCAGAGCACACTTCTTCAAATGCCTCAGGAAGCTACTTGAACTAGATTTAAAAATTCTAGAGGCCGTGTCTTATTCTTGATATAATTTTGCTGCAGTACAGTTAGGTCCCTGTCAGAATCAGAAAAGTGAATTGCTCTGAGGACGTGGCATCTACAACCACCACACCTGGGCACAGAACTATGATCCCTGTGTTGTGCTGGACACGGAGATAAGTTTCAGCTTGTGGTAAAATAACCGTGTCTCACTGACTTTTATTTACACTTGAAACATGCTGCGTTTTTGGTTTTGGAACTGGTTTTGCTTCAAAAAAAAATGTCCCTGGCGCACATGCAGATACCAGTGCCCCAGACAATGGTTTCCTTTCACAAAAGTTCCCAAACAAGGCAGCAACTGTGGGATGGCGCATATAAAGTCAAGTTTGTAACACTCTTTTTTTCAAAGAAATGTTTGAAGATCATGTGAGAAGCCCAAATAGAAGAAATTTGGGAGACTGATCATTACACTTCACAATCCTTTGTGTCTTCACAAAAAATGATGTTTCAAGTTATATTAGCATTATATTCTGGAATGTATGTTAATCAAGTTCAAATAAAAATAGTTGTTACAAAGTAGTTAACATTTATAATAAATCTGTGACAGGACTCTGAATCAGAGGTTTTATATAATACACTTGCCTTTGTCCTTAAAGTGAACATCATAACCACAACAAAAGCCTAGGCTCTATCAAAAAAAATCAGTTTTACATGGACAAAACCTCAGAGGAAGTCAGGATAGTAGTATAAGTTACCTGTAAACAAGCCTTTTTGCCTACTTTGTCTTCATGAAGTTTGCAACAAAGAATCTGCCATTTTGTTTTGAGTGACACCTTCTCAAAATAAAATGCGTTGTTCACTGCACACAATAACAATGAAACAACAACAAAAATATAGCTTTTGAAACACATATTTTCATGGTGGACGTATATATTTAATAAATCTTTACCAGAACAGTTTCCCATGTGTAACTTGGCCACACTGCAAGGATAAATACAACATCCCTAATTTTCCAAATATTGTGGTCTTTATAAAGAGAAACTACTTAGGGTTTTCTTAATTAACACCTAAATATATCAGTTTTATCAAGAAGGTAGCTGTTAGAATCATGAGACAGAAGAGTTTTGGACACACAAATCTAGCTGACAATATCTGTGTGGCCTTTAGCTGTATGTTAGGGTTTGAGATTTAATTTTTTTTTTGGTAGCTTACCAAATGTCAAACTGCTACGCTGATAATTTCTTAGGCATCTGTAACATATCCAGTTAAAAGTCCTACCTAAACAGTGTTCTAAAAACCCATAAAATCACAAAAGTATTAATAACATCTTATAGTAATGTGCTTGAACAAGGTCATACTGTTAACGGGTTCATGTTAAACACAATGAATCATTATGTGGTCAAGGAAAGTTGGTGAGTCATCTGTTTTGCAGGGCAATCTTTTAGCTGATCAGAGTCTGACTACATGGCATAAGGTCTTCAGTCTGTATCATACATATCTACTCATGTCCAGTCATAAGGATTTGTCTGGTGATTACAGAGCTTGACAGAAATTTTAACAATTAAACTTCAGAGCAGATGAAATATTTCACATGGAAGAATGTTTTATCCTACAAAGCGAACTCAGCCCTGCTTAGAGTTTTTTCTCCATCCTTTTAAATAGAGCAACAGGGCCCCAGACCTTAAGGGATTACACAGCATAGCAACAATCAGAAGAAAAAATATGTCCTAATTGCAACAAATTTGTTTAAAAGAACAAAATGGATTAGCAATCCAGTTCCTGCTCTGAAAGGCAAAACACTTTTGCCTGAGAAATCTATTTCTTCTTTGATCATTCATTTCATCACTTTGCAAATTCCTCCTTTCTGCAGTCTATCATTACCAGTTCAAGATCCACTTCATCAATGAAATCCCAGGCAAGCAGATAGATCCAACTTTTACCATGTCTCTGACAGGCACTAAGGAGGATGCTAAAAATCTGCCCATCACACTGTGAGTATTGATATTACTTGTCATTGTAAAAGTGAGGAAAAAGGTACTAACATAATAGCATATCATGTACATAATTACGCTATGAGCGAAATGGTTTAGCACAGTTAAATGAAATGGAAATTGTCCTCTCTTCACCCATACACCCTAAAAATCAGAGACTTTTACAATGCTCATACAGGTTTTGCATAAAAAAAAAAACAAAGCCAAAACAAAGTCAGTAATCTTGGAAGTTTCCCTGAGCATTAAGTATGCTCAGATATACTTATGCTCATGTATACTTATGTTTGGTCCATCCCATAGCTAACACAGGGAGGTCTAATCAATTAAACCACAAATAAATAGGCAGCTGTAATTAAGGTAAAGAATTCTGGATATTTCCCATGATGGATACTTCTATATTAAGAAAAGCAAAGGCAAAACTGTGAATCAGTATTTGCTCTACCAGACAGAAGACATAATGATGCAGATGCTATTATGTGAAACCTTTTCTTTTTCTATCAGAAACTACTACTGCTTCACCAGCTGTTCAAGCCTCTCCTACTTCTGCTACTTTTCTAGCATGTTGTCCTATTTCACCACTTTATGCACCTGGAGGAAGAGGATCCTAGAGACAGTAATGTTCCCTCCTGGAGAAGAAGGAAGAAATAGCTCTTTCTTGGGTTTTAAAAAGAAAATATTATTTTTTTCACTTTAATCTATAATAATAAGAATGACATTATTCTGCATTTGTTTTCTGCAGAATTGAAGGTATTAATGGGAATAAAACCTGCTCTTTTCTCATCACCCTGGACACTGATATTGGTGAGCTAATAATGATCAAGTTCAAATGGGAAGGAACTGCAGTTTGGAAAAATATCTGGGACACAGTTCAAACCATAATACCATGGACAAAAGGCAGCCGTCGACCGGGACTTATAGTGAAGACAATAAAAGTGAAAGCAGGGGAAACACAACAAAAGTAAGTGGAATGAAACCACTGTTTTTCTGTAATAACAAAACAGAAGGTTGGCACATAGGTTGTGCTAGTGCAAATACAAGCATCTGAGTGCCAGCACTCTCACCAGTGGTGAATTTATCCATGTACGACTTCTGGCTTTCTTCCCTCACCCTCAGATCAGACTGCCCAATTTTTATGTTTCTTAAAGAATTCCTTTGTTCTCAGGTCAGAAGCAGATAGTGTGAAATGTTCTGGCTCACAACTCACTTATTTGAGTTTAAGACACAATAACCTCGGGTGGCATGTTTGTTAATACTTCAAAACAGAGGATAGAGGAGTTAGTACACAGATCCAAGGAAGAATTTTAACAAGTTCTGCAATGCATTTTTTTCTACATAATTAATGACAATAACTGATAACAGTTTCTGATGGACTTTTAGAATGTGATTATTTCAATCCATGAGGACCACATGAATGTTCAAAGAAAAAAGATACTATGTAACGTAAACATTGACTGTAGCACTAAGGCTATGAAAAATTCTTTCCTACTCAAAAGTATGCCAAATCTTAACGACTTGACTTTCCATATTTTCTTCATAGAGAAACTCAGCATTACCATTCTTGAAAGCCTCATTAGAAGGATCAGCTGCAGAACCACAGTCATCTGATTATTAATTGAAGTTAAGAAGTTTATAATAAAATTCCCTTTTTTGTCTCATTCATTTAAGAGTCAGTACAGTGTCTGATAGTTCATAATGAATTACTACACTGTGCAGACTGTGTAAGAGTATATGGAATGAAGAATATGACTGTAGAATTCATATTTTCAGCTACAGACATTGAAATTTCTGCAGTGGGCACACAGAATGTGAGCAGTCCTGGAAAACAAGACAACTATCTATACTTATACATACCACAATTTCCCTGGTATTTCACAGTATCTTTTGCATTCTGGTTGTGCTTCTTTCTATAGGACGAATTCAGTGACAAATTTTGTCAGCTGAACTCTGACATCAGAGAGCAGTTTTCTGAAGAAATAGAATTATGAATCCAAACTGATGTCTGTTTGGGGGTGTGGTGTTTTTTTTTTGTTTGTTTTGCTTGTTTTGGGTGCTTTCTTTGAGGGTGGCTGTTCTTTCTTTCTTTTTCCTCTGCCGATTGCATTGAAGCTGCTTCACTAAGTCTGATTGGCCTTGTTCTCTACATACAGCAATACTAATACTTTTGAAACTGATTATTTAATTCACACAGAAAAATTTCAGCCAAAGCAAAGAATAACAAAACTTGTAATGATTCCCACTGCTTTAATCCTTTCAGAAATTTTAACTGAGCAGTTTAAGTAAGGTTAATGAGAAAAGCATGTCTTACCTTAAAACTGCAGCTCAGTCTTAGGAGGAGATTTTTTCCTTGCTAGTCTCTTCCTTACCAGCACCAGTTACAACTGTTGCAGACTTTCTGTGGAACAGTATTTATTGGCAAAGCTGCATCTTCTTCTTACTGACAGGGAAGACAAATTAGACAAATTGAAGAAAGATTTTCATACAAGCTCAGTGCGCTGGGATGCAAAGGAGGGATCATATTTTCTTGGGTTTTGTCCCCCTGAAAATGCATTTTGTAGGTATTTTAGTCCCCTAACCCAATATTTGATACATGCTTCTCCTATAAAAAAAAAAAAATCTAGAACATCTACTTCTGTTTTAAAAGCAATGATCCCAAATGATTACTGCCCTAACTGCCAAAGCAAATTAAAACATAGTATACACCACAAATTACAGAGCCTTGTTTAAATACAGAGTATTGGCATGAGCCAGTTACTACTGATGTACTACTTAAATGCTAGAACACAGGTAATTGAGGTAGGTAATTACTATACTAACAAAAAAGGATGCTGGTATCTTCAGGTACCTAATGCTCCTTAGAAGTTTTTTTTTTTTTGCTGCAAGCAGATGTGGGAGTTTGTATCAAGCTTTTAATGGATACTGAGTACATACTGGATTTTGTTCTTTGCCATCTGGGCTTGTCATGGGAATGGAAATGATGTGTTACTGTTGAAATACTGTATCAATGCTTGAGGGGGGAATGGATGATTATTATTTTGGTCTTCTTGGAAAGACCAAACATAAAAGATTGATGAATTAATAATTTTGAAAACTCAATATTAAAAAAGGTAAAGACAAGGCAATTTTTGAGTTGTCTTGTGCTATCCCACATGCATTTCAACAAACTGTTAACAATACTTTATCTCCATGTACCTTCACCTCAAAGCATTTGTAATATTTATACACATGCTAAATTTTCCTTTGCTACATTATGTGACAAATGTTTAGACACAATATAACAGCATAAACTTAACGACTAGTTAACAAATGACTATTATGAGCAATAAAATACCAGATTCCAACATATTTGAGTTCCATACATGGAAAATATTTCTGTTACATATGGAGTTGCCAATGTTGTTAGTAACTTACATAACCGATTTTTAAGCAACCTCACAGTTACATGCTAGTAGTCCAGCTAAGTACTAACAGGCCAAGTAGTGCAATCCTGGTAGTCATAGTAAGAGCTGAAATAATGACAATGGTCACTGAGAAGAGAGACCAAACCCCTGTGAGGGTATGCAATGGAGAATAGCATGTTGTCTGTGATACCAGAAAGAGATGGAGGCATAATGACTTTTCAAGTTGCCTATGCCTTTTACTCCATACCTATCACATGACAGCCAGATACATCTCTTTCCTCACAAGCCTACGGAAGTAATCATATACCTTCCTGTAAAAGACAGTATAAAGAAAGTCATATTCAGTGTATCTAGAAACCACACTTTTATATCAATAGTAGCACTAAAAAGTAACATTATACATATACTCTGTGTTTTCTTTCCAGAATGACATTTTGTTCTCAAAGTATTGACAACATTCACCTTCATCCAGCCCAAGAGAAAACATTTGTGAGGTGTGAAGATCGCTTTCGGAGACAAAACAAAAAATGAGCAAGAACACAAAAGACAACCGCTCACAAATATTTTCTAAACACTATACATCTAGTAAAATATTTTAAAAATGTACAACTAAATTAAATTTAAATATCCTGATAGTTTCCAAGGTGGCAAAGAAAATAATTTTTAAAATTTATATTTTGTGATGCAATGGTAAGCTGAAATATGCACTGCGTTCATCTACAAGTCTACTCTCAAAAGGATCAATGTACAATTTTCATCAACCTCAACTCACAATTTTAAATTGTATGAAGGTTTAAAAAACACCTGCTCAGTAGAAATAAAAAGATTACTATTGGAAAGAATTATTGTCATAATCCTTTGAAAAAATTTCATTTTGTTGAACTTAAGGGGAAAAAAAGAGCTTCAATTCCCATTATATACTTCAAAACATCAGTAGTGACTACTACCAGGTAAATTCCTAAATTATTTCCTAATGAAGGGGGAGGTAAATATTTCCAAGTAGATAACATTGTTAACAAAGAGTCTGAACCTTTTACAAGATTCAAAAACTAGAATGCATCTAAACATAGAGAACAGCTGAGCTATGTCATAACCATATGGCAAACCAAATAACAGTACGGCATTTTTAGGTGATACAAACTGTTGTCCTGGTAACTATCTTTGCTGTTTAACTATTTTAGTTAAAAGTACTCATTTAAATTACTAGCAATTTCATTACTTTAATGATGCTTAGTATAGTACATGCAATTGTAGCTCAACTAAGTACAGTTAACTTCTGCATTAAAATTGTATTTTCCTGTTCAGCTAAGACCAGAGATTTTTAGATTTAAATCCAGGTGCAGCCGATTTTAGCATGATTTGAAACTGCACGAACAAATGAAAGTGATAAACCCTTCAAACATATTCAGTGCATATAAACAAACTTTGTAAATTCAAGCATGTACAATTCCCTTGTTTCCCATGTCAGAACATAAACTACATAAAGTAACATTATTGCCTCAGATTACTTTTATTTTATGGTTAGTGAATACCGAAGTAGAAATAAGTATGTATGTCAGCGGATGTCATTTGTCACTTTGAAGTTTCTACAGCTCTGTATTCTGAATGCAGTTTGTTTTAAGTGTTCTCTAAATGGTAAAAAATGTCTCAGATAGTCACAAGACCTGGAGCAAAGCAGTTTTCACATCAAGATTAGACAAAGATTAGAAAGAATAGGCCAGTGCTGCTTCTCCCATGCAGAAACTATGACGGTGCTGCTTTGCTATACCTGAAAAAAAAAAAAAAAAAAAAAACAACTTGAGCTTTGGGAAAACCAC